TCATACCATTCCAACACTAAAGTACCAATAATCCTCCACCATGCTCCACTCCCTCCTCTGGTTACCTCAGTTTTGTAGTCAGATGTAAAGGTTTGTTATTGGTTTGATGCTGTCTGCCCCTTTCTTATGTCTCTCTACAGTATGGTGACTGTTCTTATCAATTTAAGCATTCTATCTCTAATGTTCTGAGGGTCAGAGGGTTGTGTATACAGTAAAGTTAGTATGGTACAAATTGCTTTCATGCTAGTTCCCTGATATTGAAAGATTTAACATTTGTGGGGTTGACATTATAGTGAATAACACTATAGAGTCATGGCAGTTAATTTGGGTGAAATGAAAATTTGCATCTTACAAAAATAATGCAGCTGTGTACCTAAGAGTCAACTATTAGTAAGTGAACTGGTAGCAGATCAGAAACATATTAGCATGTCACTTTTGTTTTCTATTCACCTTATAGAATCATACTAAATGATGAACAAACCTTGTTATAGGAAATGTAAACTGCAAAAGCTCATGTGTCTGTCAATAGGGAGTATTGGTATTGATACAATAGGCTATTAGGCAGCTTTTAAAAAATAAAATAACGATGAAAGGGAACTTGCCTTGCCAGAAATTATAACTTACTATAAAAGTATAGCAATCAAACTTTAACTTCTGAAGTATGTACAAGTATTGGCACAGCAACATAAAAATAGGTTATTAAATAGATATCTAGAAATAGATCTATGCAAATCTGAGGAATTAATCTATGTTGATTTAATTCGCAATGGTGCCAGTATATTTGGGTATTTATTCAGAAGAGAGCACCTCATACCATGTAAAATAAATCCCAAATAGCTGAAAATCTAAAAGTAAAAAGAACACAATGAAATATGTAACAATAATAGGAAAATACTCATGTAATTTCACAGATGGGAGACACTATCTTAAGATACTCTGTTCTCAAATGGCGAAGCGGGATGCAGTCCCTGCGCCTCCGGTTTCAGGCACACTCTTCTGCGCACCCGGTCTGCCCCGGACGTGGGTGCCTGCTCCCTCTGTGGGCTCAGACTGCTGGTCGGAAGGGGCCTGGTGTGGAATAACTTCCCGGCTGGCCACTGGGTCCTCCAGAAACCTTCTGCCCTTTTCAAGCAGACTTAAGAGATGTCCTGTTTTATAGGGTGTTAGTGACTTTTTTTTCCTGGTCGCTAGGTGGCGCCAGAGATCTCTCCTATTGTCCTTGGGGGCTGTTTTTCGCCTCCCCCCACCCCGTGGGACAGAGAACAGAGCGGGAATGGTAGGGTACACCTCAACAGCTTTGGGGTGCTGTGTCTGCCTTGTGCCCCACCGTCGTGGAGAACCCACGCCCCGAATTTTCGTGCCCCGGGTCTCAGTTCAAAGCCCTCAGGTCCAGGACGCGGGCTGTAGCCCAGTTCAGTGGCGCGGGAATGGCGCCTTTTGCACCCGGCTCCCGTGCCTGGGCGCCTGGTTCCTGCTTACTCAGGGAGGGACCTTCACCTCAGTGAGGACCTCCGTGCGTCTCCCCGCAAGCCTAGGTCGTCTCCCCGCAAGCCTAGGTCGCAGGCGCGGGGACCTGGGCAGCCGCGATCCCGGTCTGCACTTGCTTTTCAAGTGCGCCAGGCGCGCCGCGTTTCCCGCGCAGGCTTACCGGCAGCCCGGGCTGTGTGCGCGTCTCCCGGGGTCTTTGTTCTTCTCTAATGGCGCCCGGAGTCGTTCGCTCACCGCCGCGGCGGATCCTGCAGGGTTCGCCTCAGCTCCCGTTCACGGGTGTGGTGGCTGCAATAGTTCCTTTCCGCTCACAGTCCCGCTTGCTGCGTCGTTTGTTCTTGTTGGTTGTTTTGGTTTGTTGTTTCCTCCTCTCTGCGGGTCGGAGAGTGCCGCCTCTGTGGGCGGGGAGGGGAGCAGGGTTCTGCGCTTCCCTCCCTTCTAGTCCTCTTTTATGGCCACTTTCTTCTTCGGGCAGTTCGCTGGCGTCACCCGTTTATCTTCCGTGTCCCAGTTCTCACTGGGACCTGCCGCTTTTCCTCCCTATTCACTTTTTTTAATGGGAGATCTTACTCGCAGCGTCTCCTCGCCGCCATGTTGCTCCGCCAAATGGAGGCATCACACTCCCAGACTTCAAACTATACTACAAAGCCATAATCATCAAAACTGCATGGTATTGGAACAAGAACAGACATACAGACCAATGGAATCGAATAGAAAATCCAGAAATAAACCCACAGATTTATGGTCAACTAATCTTTGACAAAGGAGCAAAGACTATGCATTGGAGCAAAGAAAGTTTGTTCAATAAATGGTGCTGGGAAAACTGGGTCGCTACATGCAAAAGAATGAAGCTTGACCACTACCTCACACCATACACAAAAATCAACTCAAAATGGATTAAAGAACTAGACATAAGAACTGAAACCATAAAATACATAGAAGGAAATATAGGCGAAACACTACGGGATTTGCACATCAAAGACATCTTTACAGACACATCACCCAAAGCAGTGATAGTGAAGAGAAAGATAAACAGCTGGGACTACATCAAATTAAAGAGCTTCTGCACAGCAAAAGAGACAATAACAAAAACAAAGAGAAACCCCACCAACTGGGAGAACATTTTTGCACCCAACACTAATGATAAAGGACTGATCACAAAAATCTGCAAAGAGCTGATGAGACTCAGCAACAACAAAGAAAATAATCCAGTCAAAAAATGGGCAGAAGAGCTAAAAAGAAACTTCTCTGAAGAGGAAATGAAAATGGCCAACAGACATATGAAAAAATGTTCAACATCACTTGTAATCAGGGAAATGCAAATCAAAACTACCATGAGATACCATCTCACACCAGTGAGAATGGCACATATTAAAAAAACTAGCAACAACAAATGTTGGCGAGGATGTGGAGAAAAAGGAACTCTTGTGCACTGTTGGTGGGAGTGCAAACTGGTCCAACCACTATGGAGAGCTGTGTGGAGATTTCTGGACCTACTAAACATAGAGCTTCCATATGATCCAGCAATTCCACTCCTAGGTATTTACCCAAAGGACACAGAAACATCAATTCCAAAGAGCACCTGCACTCCTATGTTTATAGCAGCACTGTTTACAATAGCTAAGCTTTGGAAACAACCCAAATGCCCAAAAATAGATGACTGGATCAAGAAGATGTGGTACATATATACCATGGAATATTACTCAGCATTCAAAAAAGATAAACACATGCAATTTGCAGCAACATGGATGGCACTGGAAGGGATCATGCTCAGTGAAATAAGCCAAAAAGAAAAAGAAAAATACCGGATGGTCTCACTCATAGCAGGAATCTAGAAAACTTAAATAAGGGACCAGGAAAATGAATATAAGAAAGTGAAAATCAAAATCAACAAAAAAACTATGAACCAGAGACACTTTTTGGGGGGTGGGGGCGGGAGGGGAAGGATTGGGGTCAGAATGGGCGTTTGCAATTGTATGGGGGAATATAAAAATAAAATTTAATATTTAAAAAAAAAAAAAAAAAAAAAAAAAAAAGATACTCTGGAAACTCACATGAAACAAGTAAATGATTTTGGATGGCACAATATACCTTGGTCAAATTAAAGAGGCTGAGGAAAATATTTGCATGCATATGTCAGGTGAGATTCAGATGACAACAAAACAGAGGTCTGAGCATGAAGATGCTTATTGCAGCAGTGCTTGAAGAGGGAAAATTTGGGAAACAACCTGAATGTCAATCAATGAAGAACTGGTTGAATGATTTATGGTATAAACATGACATGAATGTTATCCAGCAATTAAGGATAATGAGTTGCTCCAGAGAGATCATGTCAGCAGGTGAAAAAGCAAATTTCAGGTTGGTATACAATGCATATTGCTTTCAATGACAGCACTCTGTTTATTTCACAGTTCTCACTCACTGTTTTTAGATAGTTTGTTATTTTCTTGATTTTTGCCTGATTCTCACAGTGGGCTGTAATTTCTTTAAATTGCCTAAATCTAATACAATATATAGGTTGGCCTTCACATCCCTGACTTCTAATACAATGTTCTACTAGATAAAAGATGTTAATTTAATATTTATTTAATGAAAATTCATAGTAAACTTTTGGAATGATATAGAATCAACTAAAGAGTAATTTCCTTTAGATAATGGACCTAGCAATCTCAGGGTAAAGATGAAAACTTCATTTCCACCTAAATCTCTATCTGAAGTGTTTGAAATTTCACAATAAGCACATATAATCTTCTTTGAAAAAGACCAAATATTGGGCCTCCCTGGTGGTGCAGGGGGTTGAGACCCAACCTATGAAGCTCACTGCAGCGGCTGCAGCACAAGTTCGTTCCCCAGCCAGGGAGTACCCACATGGCACAGCAGAACTCTCCTGTCTTGCCTGCTGCAGGGGTGTATTTCAGTCAATCTGCCTGTTCTGTTCCCCACTCTGTCTCTGGTGAATCCTCTCACCCATTCACACCTCTGGCCTGTACCCCAGTTCTTGTATGCATAAATAAATAAATCTTTTTTTAAAAAAGACCAAATACTGTGACAGTGTATTAAAAACAATTGTGAAATTAAAATTAAAACTTAAAAAAATCTAGTTAATAAATAAAAAACAATTAACAAAAAATTTTTTCTCCATGAAAGATGCCCTCTTGCACTTGTGTGGGTAAGTGACCAAAGGCTCAAGAAATCTAAATGAGGGAAATCAAATATATGCAAGGGGGAAATGACGGAGAGAGGTCTCTTAAGCTCAAGTGTCAGTCCTGTGATTAGGGTGGAATAAGCATGTATCACTTTAACAAAAAGCAAAAAAATTCAAACATCACAAAAAACAGTTACAGCCATTACCCACCTAAATAAGATATTTGGGACAGGAAACGGAGCATCTGGAAAAATCCTGTACTGTTGGTTCTGTGTCTGTCTACCTTCAACTCAACTTTGCCTTCCCCAAGCCTCTTGGAACCTGCATCTTTCTGGAAACAAACATTCCGCAAATTCAATCTACTCACAGAGCTTCTGCCAAGTCCACGCCTTAGCTGGAACCATGTCCCCTGAAGCACAGGACGTGGCCTCCTGCCCAGCCAAACTGCTCAGAGTCCCTGCAGCCCCGTGCTGCCTTTCCTTGCCTTCTCCCCATTACGACCCCTAGACTTTTACATCTTTAGTCTTTATTCGTGGACAAAGTCTGCTATTCCTTTGAAGGTAAAATTCTTTGGCTATCAGTTTTTGTTCTCCAGACTTTCAGGTCATTCCTCAACATTCCCTGAAGACATCAGCATCAGCACCACTTCCGTAAGCTCCGCTGGCATCCTGAGAGACTCCAACCGCCGTGTGTAACCATAATAGATGAATAAACAGCACAGCTTCTGCACCGGACAGACTTCAGATCAAATTCAAGATGTGCTGATTATTAGCAGAACAATTTGGACAGATCATTGAAGGTTGATTTTGTCTTTGTAAAATAGGAATACTCTTCTTCATAGTGTATTCTCCCTTTCCTTGTTTTGCTTTTTAATTAACTAGATTTTGTGAGATTTAATTAAAAATGGGTTTCAGTACATTACCATAACAACTAGTCTTTGTATTCAGAGCAGTGTGTGGTCAGTGCTCAGCACAATGCTTCTAAGTGTGGTTATTTGAGTGGCCTTTTCTAAGCATTAGCCACAGGGTTCCCACCCTCAGATCTTGTTTGACTTTCATTTCTTCCTTCCCACTCCAGTGCTGTATCCCTATAAGCTACTTTTGGATCTTAGCCTTTCCAGGTCTCTTCTCTATGGAGTTGATTTTCTTCTAACATCAACAGAGAGTATGAAGCAATATCTCCTATCATCATCATTATCAAGGGCAAAGCCTAACCATTTATTCTATAACCACACACATGCTTATCTGTTTCTGTCCAGTCTTAAGAGAAAATGGGTCTAGTGCTCTTCAACATTAGAACACTATTCTGGATCCTTCTCCTCTGTGTTTGCCTGGACTTTTACTATCCCATATTTATATGTTTAACTTCCCCTTTCTACATGCTTTTGCTCTTATCTGTTAAATATACCATGGTCTTAGTTATCTTAACCAACAAATAGGGGCCTCCCTGGTGCACAGGAGTTAAAGACAGAGCTATGAAGCTATCTTCAGTCACTGCAGCATGAATTTGATCCCCAGCCGGCTAGGGAGCACCCCATATGGCGCAGCAGACCTCTCCTGTCTCGCCCGCTGCTCCCCTCCGCGCGTATTTCAGTAGATCTGCCTGTTCTGCTCCCAACTCTCTGGTGAATCCTCTCATTACTCCCCCCAAACCTCTGGCCTATACCCCAGTTCTTGTATGCATAAATAAATAAATTTTAAAAAAATAGGGCCTCCCTGCTGGCGCAAGGGGTTAAGATGCAACCGATGAAGCTGTTCACGGCTGCTGCAGCACAAGTTTGATCCCTGGCTGGGGAGCTGCCCACATGCCACAGCAGACCTCTCCTGACTTGCCTGCTGCTCTCTTCAGCAGTGTATTTCAGTCAGTCTGCCTGTTCTGTTCCCCACTCTGTCTCTGGAGAATCCTCTCATCCCCCACACCTCTGGCCTGTAACTCAGTTCTTGTATGCATAAATAAATAAATCTTTAAAAAAAAAAACCCAACAAATAATAAAAGACACAAAACTTCTCAAGACTCTGCATTGCTCTCTGGACACTGAAAGGTTGATGCAGGAAGGCAGAATGCAAAAGCCCACCAGGAAGCCCACCTGGGGGCAGGAATGCAGAAGCCTGCCTAGAGGATTCAGACAATGAACCTCCCCCACCAAACTTTTTCCCACCACACAACCCAGTTTACCACCTGACCTCTCCTCACTCCATAAAAACCTGTCTCCCCCTGACAACCTGCACGACTTCACCGACACCCACCTTTTTTCGGTTGGTGAAATCTGCCCGGGAGCAATAAATTTTCCCTTCCTTTGAGAAAGCTTGACCTGGTTCTTCCTTACTGTGCAGTACCTTTCAGACACCACTCCATCTCTTTTCTGCCAATAACCATGCCAACTATCATAACACTGTGCACTTACTACCTGCCCCTATTATATATCAACTCTTATTGTTGACACATATATTTTCTCATAATTATAACTGAGCTTGCTGCCATGTTCATTTCTTTATTCCCTATTATTTTTTCTACTGTTCTTTATTACTTTCTGAACCCTTGTTTAGTGTCTTCTCTCATTGTTCTTCTCATCCCAATTAAATCAACATTTTGAATGCCTTTCTTATTTCCAAATCCAAAAGGCATTTTAAACTTTTATGTGACATTATAATAAGTCATGTGATATTAATTCCTGATGCATTCCTGGCAGTTTGCAATGGATACTGTAAAAATAACGTATTTGGAGCTATGGTAGAGGATTATGGGAGTCTTGGTGGCATGTATGGTAAGTAACATACACCTATGCATCTGAAGTGATGCGATCCTATACCTCTGCTGTATATCATATACAGTGCTGTAAACCAATGTTACCTCAAATTAAGAAAAAATGAAAATCTACTCATTCACTCTAAAAAGTATACTTTTATCATGCATAATAATATATGATGTGTTAGGGCTTTCAAATAAATTCTTTTCTTCCTCATCCGTCACTGAAAGGAAAACTGTTGAGTGAGTTCACAACACTGAACTTGAACTACGTCTTCCTTTGGCCTCAGATTCTTTAATAAAACATTATACCCATGGACAGTGCTAAGATTTTTGTGCATATCATTACATTCACCACTTCGCTTTCTAACTTTTATATTTTTTCTTCTATGAGCTCTCTCAAACTTGAACTCTGTGGAACCTGTCTCTCTGGAGACACATTCCTGACTCACTCATGAGCAATTTCCTCCCTGCTTCTTTTTAAGTGTGTTATTTTTTTCTCAGATGCTGCCTCTTCCTACATTTTGTGTTTTCCTTGCCTTAACTCATCTACATTCAATGCTTTAACTACATCTGGATGACATCAAAGTGATTATCTTTGGCTTTCTCACCTATTGAAGCTCCGAATTCACATTTCACTGTATACTGGTTAGCTTTAAAAGAATCTTAAATTCAAAAGAGCCAGGTTTGAATCCTTATAAATCCATTCCTCCTCTTGATTTTTCCACCTAAGTTAATAATGTCACAAGCACCTAAGTTAAAAGCTCTGGGAGTTGTTCGTAATTCTTCCCTCTCCCTCATTGTCTCCTTCTGAGATGTCATTTCACTCTTTTAATTCAACCACTTAAACATTTCCTGAGTCTTCGCGGTCCTGTCTATTGCCACTGCCATCCTAATTTCTCACTGTGTTATTGGATTTAACCTCTTAACTGTTTTTTGTCTACCTACAAACTAAATTCTACACCAAAATCCAAACAAGCACTCCACAACCACATCACTTCCTTGATTTAAATCTTCAGCAACTTCAAGAACCCTCCATCATACAAGACACTAATGGAATCCATAATCTTCCATTCCTAATGTTCTGGCTCCCCTTACCCAAATCATTGTCAGGTGCAACGCTGCCTAGAACAATGACACACAGTAGGTGCTAGTTATGCATTCAATTGTGTCCCCCCTAAGTCAAAACCCTAATCCCTAGTACATATGAACATTGCTATAATGAGATAGAGTTGAGTCTTTAAATAGGATATTAAGTTAAAATGAGGTATTTAGGGTGGACTATAATCCAAGATAACTGGTGTCTTTAAAAGAAGAGATTAGGATACAGATTTACAAAGAGGAAGAACATGTCAAGACATGGAAGGAGGCGGTGATCTACAAGCCAAGGAGAGACGCCTCAGTAATAAGCCAGACCTGATGACAAATTGATCTTTGATGTACAATATTCAGGACCATGAGAACATAAATATCTGTTGTTTAAGTCACTGTAGGGGCAGGAAGGACACAGGGCAGGATTGCTAATCCAGCAGACTAGGTAAAGGAGGAGAGAGTCCTGGAGCCCTCAGTGGCTTTTGCAGGCTTTTTATTTAGATTTACCAGGCACATGGCAGGCAGGGGTTCTGGGGGCCAGGAGGCTGGCAGTCCTCCCAGCCCCAGCAAATCCTCACTCTATTTGGGCTCTCCGGCCTTCTCTCTGCTTCTCTTCTCTGCCTCTACTGGTGTCCCTGCGCCGCTGCCCCTAAAAACCCAGTCTCAGCCCAGGTGAATCCCATCTACTTATGCCCACACCCTACTCCAGGTGCCCGCCATCAGGCATGCATTCAGGACCGCAGATCCATCATCAATCTTAATGACGGGAGGGCAGAAAATCCTGATACTTTTTACCTTACCCTACAGTCACCCAGTCTGTAAATTTGATATAGCAGCCCTTGCAAACTAATAGAATGCTCCATAAAATATTTCTTGAGAAAAGAACAACTTTATCAGTGAAATAGACACAAGTTAGAACTATTAGTAACTGACTGTAGGGTAAGGTAAAAAGATTCAGGTTTTTCTGCCCTCCCGCCATTAGGATTGGTGATGGATCTGCGGTCCTGAATGCATGCCTGATGGCGGGCACCTGGAGTGGGGTGTGGGCCTGCATAGATGGGATTCACCTGGGCTAAGATTGGGCCTATAAGGGCGGCATCATGGAGATGCCACTAGAAGCAGAGAGAAGCAGAAGCATGAGAGAGCAGAGGCCACCAGAGAATGCCAGAGAGCCCAGACAGAGTGAAGACTTGCTGGGGCCTGGGAGGTCTGCCAGCCTCCCGGCCCCCCAGTACCCCTTCCCAGCCATGTACCTGGTAAATTCCAATAAAAGCCTGCAAAAGCCACTGAGGGCTCCAGGACTCTTCCTTTACCCCGTCTGCTGGATCAGAAAACCTGCACTGTGCCCCTTCCTGCCCTTACACTGACTTTCTCTGAAGCCCTGAAGCTTACTCTAAGGAAATGAGAGTAGAGAAAGTTGGAGGGGATATGTCTTTCTATTAATATTAATTATTATCTCAGTAGTAAGAAATTACTTATTTTGTACCTTTTACTTTGCATCTAATTTTGAAATGTTTACTTACCCATCTCAAACTTTTAGTAGTAAAATCCCATCTTTAGT